AAGCTTCCTGGGGGAATGGGAACAAACACCCCACTGAGAAGTGCACCTGGCACTTTTCTGAAAGCCGGAGCCACCTCTGCATGGGCTCCCAGAAGCTCCTGTCCAGCTGTCAGCATGTAATCAGGATGGACCAGTCCCCTGAAGAGATGCAGGGTGCCGTGTGCGACACCTTCCAGTACCTGGTCCAGCTGGCTGGCCTGTGCTTCCAGTTCACAGACTGCAGCCGCTGCTCCGCCCGGCACAGGGAGGCAGCAGGGAACCTGAGGGACGTGGTGTACACCTATCACCAATTTGTGGAGGCTGCCAAGCTGACCTGCGAGGGAGGCTACCATGACCTGAGTGTGAAACTCTTGGCTCGTCAGTGTACGGCTCTCACAGCTGCCGTGTTCTGTTTGACCCAGAAGTTCCGGGCATCCACTGCCCTGTGAGCAGGCCGGCTGCCCAGACCCCCTGCCCTGCCCTGCCCTGGACACTTCCCTAGAAGACTCTTCCATTCATTCACCCACCCTCTCAAATGTTTACTATTTAGAGTATTTAAATAAACTGCTGCTTAATCTTGGCCTGAATCAGACAGTGATAAGTTTGGGTCAAAACACACACTTCCTATCCATTCAACGCACATTCACTGAATACCTCCTCTGGGCCAGGCCTTGTACTAGGAGCTTAGGATAATTACAGACAAATAAGACAAGTCCCTCCCTGGTCAGGATGCTCACAGACCCTCCGGGGACACAGATCAGTAGATTACCATCAGTAAAGTGTGTATCCTAAAAGGAACATACCCTAGGGGCATGGAAGTAAGAAGTCACAAACTGTCCCAAGAAGGCAGGGATGAGGGAGGAAGGTGGGGGTCACCAAGAAACACTGTCTTCTTATACCACATTTATTTGGCAATAGCTTCTGCAAGAGTATATGTGATATCTGATAGATTGTACCTTCACAAGCACCTGCTCAGGGAGGTCTGTTCATGTTCGCTGCCTCCCTGCGATAAGCATAGATAGCCACTAGGTGGCAGTAAGTTCCTTGGCTGCGCAGCTATGCTCTTCAGGTGTGCTCTGTGCTTTATCTGAAATTGCACACCTAAATCTTGCACCTTATTTTTGTTTTAAATAGTTAAAAAGGCAAACCTTAAGGCCCTGAATTATATTTGCCTTTTTAAGAATAATATTAGTGCAAAGTAAATATATTTAGTACTTTTCTCACCAACCCCAGTTGAGCCAGTTAATCCCAGTTAATCTTGGTGGGACCTTGGACAAGCTATTTGACCTCAGTGCTTCGGTTTTCTCTTCTGTAAATTGAGGACACTAATAGTGCCTGCTCCATCAGGTAGAAATCTAGTCAGTACTCAATCTAGTAAATAGTAAGTAATAATGCCCAGCTTTATGGCTGTCCTTCCTAGTCTGAAATACTTCCTGCATTTTGTTTTCTGACTCCAGGAAAACCGATTTCAAGTTACCTTTGGGATACTTTTTTCCCCTGGCTTCTCTGTCCAGGCCAAAGGTGGTTTAGACACTCATTCTGCACTATTAGAGTTCATTCAAGGGGCCCCTTTGCCCCTCTGGTGCTGCTGATGGGTTGTGAGCTGTGCTGCCTCTGCAGTTCCTCTCCTCTGGGGCTCCCTATCCCTCTCCTTCACCCAGCGAAAGCAGGAGCAGGAAAGTGTTTAGTCACCCACCCAAGCTCTCTCCAATCAGAAGGAAAGCAATACCTTGGGAGAAGAGAAAAAACATCCTTCCCAACCCCTGTTACTAGTTACTTGTTAACTAGTAAACAGTTAAACAGCACTTGTGCCAGGAAAACGTTTATTTTCTTAGGGGCCTGTTTCTTTTCACAGAATACTGTGAATAAAATTTAAATAAGCTCTTGAACACAGATTTGAGGTGATTTCATGGCAATAAGAAATAGGAATAATAGGACACTGAAATACTAAAGACTGTATGATGCTTAAAAGGACCTGAATGGCCCTGGCCGGTTTGGCTCAGCGGTTACAGTGTCGTCCTGCGGTCCTGAGAGACCCGGGTTCGGTTCCCGCTAAGGGCGCGTACCTCGGTTGCAGTTTGTCCCCGGCCCTGGTCGGCTCGATGTGTTCCTTTCACAACGATGTTTCTCTCTCTCTCTCCCTTCCTCTCTCTCCCTCCCACTCTACCTGAACAAAAAATGGAAAAATGTCCTCGGGTGAGGATAAAAAGAATAATAATAATAAAAGGACCTAAATGCTTTTACCAGCAGAAAGCTATGAAGAGCTACATAACTTGTTTACGTGAACATAATCTATATGTTCACAAATTTAGAGAAGGAGCTCAGGACTTCAATTGGGACTTGAATCCTGGCAGTGTTATTAAAGGCACTTGTTCGGGTCTCAGGTTCCCCATCTGACAAAAGGAAATACTAGTCCCTATTTACTAACGGCCTACAATGCATTTTCTTATCAACACAACACCCCAAAGTAGAGATTGGTATATACGTTCGACATTATTATGAGAAAGAAATAACTGCGGAAGGAAGGCAGGAAGAAGATGGAAGCCTTCAGCACAAGCACTCAAATGTTCGTTTCCTTCTTTCTTCGCTTCCTCTCCCCTCAAATCCATGAACTTCCTTGGGTTGCTACAGTATGGAGCTGGTATTTTGCTCTGCACTTTCCATGAGGAGTACTAAGTCCCAGAAGTTCTGAGAAACCCCCCATTGCTTGTTGAGATGCTGAAGTACTGGGTGGGAGGTATCCTGTTTAGCACTTTCTTTGAGATACACAGCCCCTATATGAGTGGGACTGCCTACTCTGCAATGCAAGAGTTAATTGTTTAATGACTAAGAAACTACTGGACATATACAAGTCTCCTTCCTTTTCCCACACATCATTATATTGGCTGATTCATTTCTTTCAACAAACATTTATGGTATACCCACGCAAGGTGATGCCTGATGCAGGATGATGGATGTAAATAATAGGGTGAGAATCCTGTTTTCAAGTATCCTTGGTCCAATAGATAAAATAACATGTAGAGATAGAGACCTAAAACATAAGGCATGGTATGCTCAGGGCCACTAAAGAGAACAGATAAAGTGTATGAGAACTTAAAGGAGAGAAGTAATTTTTGGGTGGGAGCAGAATAGTGATCAGGGAAGGCTTCCTGTAGGAGGCAGTATTAATTAGAACTGGTTTATCAAGAAGCATTTTTGAGTAGCTACTGTGTGTCAGGTTCTAGATTTGATAGATAGGAAGGTAAGTTTTGGATGTGTCAAGAAAGAAGAAAAACCACTCATTTGTTTATTCTGTCAACAAATATTTACTGTGTAGTGGCACTAGGAATGCGAGCATCAACATACTAGATGTAGTCCCCTCAAGAAACTTACAATGAGTAGGAAAGACACAGAAAAAAATGACTGACTGATAAGTGATATAAAGAAAATGAAGAGTGCCAATCTTACCTAGGGTGATCAGTCAAGGCCTCTCTGAAGAAAAAATGTTTAAGCTGAAGCCTTAAGAATAAGAAGGGGCCAGCCATGGAGAAAGTGAGAGGAATGGGAACAGTATCTGCAAAGGTCTTTGGTGTGTTTGAAGCAGGTGTGACTGGAATACAGCAAGCTGGAGGAAGAGTGAAAGATGAGGTTGGAGGGGCAGCCAGGAACCAGGCTGTGCAAGGCCTCAGCGAGGTCAGTTTTTCCCATCCAAGTGTGACAGGAACCCTCTGAGGAGTTTGCAAACAGATGGCTGGGGGAGCAGGCAGTGAAACCAACGAGGTCTTCGTTGTGGAGAAGTAGCCATGCGATCATTCAGAGGTAAAGAAACAAGAGATGGGTGAAAGGTATTCAATATGGCTAGTACAAAGTGCAGGGACTGGTAGGTGTGGTGGGAGCCACTGAAGACTATTTGAGCCACTTTGCAAGCCCTGCAAAGTGGGAAGCCAGGTCCAGCTTCTGAGCAGAGAAGAGACATTAGAGCTAAGCTTTAGGGATGGGGGATTGGTTTTAGCATTTAAAAATTGCTCCAGTAGCCCTGGCCAGTTTGGCTCAGCGGTTAGAGCATCGGCCTACGGTCTGGAGAGACCTGGGTTTGGTTCCCGCTAAGGGCACGTACTTCGGTTGCAGTTTGTCCCCGGCCCTGGTTGGTCGTGCGGGTGGCAGCCACTTGATGTGTCCCTTCACGTCGATGTTTCTCTCTCTCTCTCCCTTCCTCTCTCTCCCTCCCACTCTATCTGTACAAAAAATGGAAAAATGTCCTCGGGTGAGGATAAAAAAAAAAAAAATTGCTCCAGTAGCAGATAAAGTATGGATTGAAGCATGGCTTGGGGATGGGGTGGGAGTTGCTGAGGAAAGAAAAGTCCATAGGGGGTTACAGTGTGGGGCTAAGGAGTAATCCAACAGGGCTGTGGTTTCTTGCGTGGGAGACATTTCAAGCTCATTCATGGTAGGGTCTCTCTGAGAGGGTGAGACCCCTAGGAGGAATAAAGAAAAGAATGGCTGATAGTTTTTATCAGGACAAGGGTTGGGCAAGTCACTTCAGGTTTCTGAGCCCCAGTTTCCCCATGGACTTACTCCTTACCTGCCCAGATATGTCTCTTGTGAGCCAGGACAGCCAGGTACCAGTGAAAAGGAATGTGTGCTCAGGGAAGGGCTGTATTAGCTCATGGGCCTTGCAAGTTGTGGGGAAGCCCAGAGGAGGGCAAGGCCCCCAGGCTGCGAGATGAGAAGTGGTTCAAGTCTGGTTTCAGCCCAGTTTCACAATGTCTAGTCCCTGATAACCATTAAAGCACCTGGTCACCTGCAGCACCCCTGGAGGTCACCAAGCAGCTGGGATCCGCAGTCCCCCATGTGACAGCCTGGGGGAAACAGGCTTATAGAGGCGTGGCAACACTTCTGGCCTGACAAAGCTCTCTAGTGCCTGGGTGAGGCTTGGAAGCCCAAGCCTCCGCTTTGGCCCCTGAACACGCCGCGGCCAGGCCGAAAACTACAATTCCCAGAATGCTACTCGGAAAGAGGCAAGGACCGGAAGTGGGTCCGGAGGCGGGGCCTGATGTGCTCTGCCGCTGCGTGAGGTGTCGGGATCAGGTACACGCGGGGCTCGTTGCGGGGCGGGGTGGGGGTCTGGCTGCGGACTGCTGCCGCGTTTGTGGGCGAGGAAGACGCTGGGGAAACAGCGTGTAACGGTTGTGTGGCCTGGTGCTCCACACCTTCTTGGTGCTTTCCCTTCCTGTCTCCCCTCGCACTCGCAGCCTAAAGGCCAGGCGGGGTACTTTCGCGCTCAGGGTCCAGGTGCTCTATTGCTGAAGGTGCCAGGGGCGTGGAGCCAGCTTTCGTGGACTGACATTTAGAATGAGAAAATGAGACGAGTGTGCAAACGGAGCTTGGTCCTTCACTATGCGCTCGGGGATATGCTCATCAGGTGGGACCTGGGTTAGAAAACTCAGAGCTGAAAGTGGGGTGGGTGGGGCAGGCCAGGGCGAGGATACTTCACACAAGGAACCTGGTTCTTAAGAAAGTGGATTTATAAATTAAGCTAGTATTTATTGAGCATCTGTTATGTACCACACCCCTTTCTAGGCATAGAGGATACAGTAGTGAACAAAGCAAATGGAACACTTGGTTACATTGTAAGAATGGGAAAGTTCCCACAAAAACTAAGTAAAATGTATGCCACGTGGGATAGTGAAAATCTGGATGAAGTGAGCAATGTAGTTCTATAATTTTCTCTGGAGGAAGAGCATTGGAGATAGAAAGAATAGCAAGTGCAAAGGCCCTGAGGTGGGAATGTCCATGGTATGTTTGAGGATCAGCAAGCAGATCAGATAGCAGAGGACAGTAGGGGGTGGGGGTAGACCTTAGTGATCAGTAAGGCCATCATAAAGATTTTGGCTATTTACTGTAAGTGAAATGGAGAATCCAGCATGGTTCTGAGCAGAAGAGTGATGATTATCTATCATTTAGGATGCTTTTATTCTGCGAGGCTCAGTACTGAGCGCTAGGGGTGTGCACGTGAACTCTTTGTTCTCGCTTCCCTGGAAGTGTTTGTAATCTGGTGGGGAAACAGGCAGACCAGTGATCATCCGAGGCTGAGTCAGATACTTGCAGCCCCATGAAGAAAGAATAAGTATACTCTCCAAATCCTCAGTGTGTGCTATTATGTCAAATGCTTAGTAACTGTTGGTTAAATGATTAATTGAGTAATTCAGTACCCAGCACTGGACCTGTAATGGGGACTCAGAAAACACTTTTTAATGGAGAAATGAAATGCTAACTGTGGGTATAGATGATGTCACATATGGATTGATAGATCTGTGCTTCTGTGGTGCCCTACTTCATCTTTGCTTTCGGAGGATCGCTAGGTGGTAAGCTTCGATTCAGTATTCACTGAGCTTCCATTCTCTGCCAGGCCTGTGCTAGCCACTGAAGATACAAAGATGAAAAAGATGTGGTCCTGTCCTCATGAATGCCCAATCTGCTGTATTACAGATTTCTGGTAGTGGTTGGAGTTGCCTTCATTTGATTTTCAAGATCACTATCTCCCAAGTTCCTGGTCTGAAAAACATTCTCAGGAATTTGGAGAGGTCAGAGATACAAGGAGTGGAATAGGAAAGAAGGAAATGGGGGCCGTGGTGGTTAAATTCAGTTTATTCAACAAATATTTATTTAAACACTGATGTTTGCAAGATTCTTTGAACTGTTCAATGTTTAGGTAGATGTAGTTACAGGAGAGAAAAGATGAGTGTTGACCTTCCAATTTTTAAAACGGCAATGAAAAACTCTGCAGCCCCTCCAGCTACTTCAACCCTAGCTCTCTTTTCTCCTCACACAGACTTCTCCAGTGAGAACAACTACATTCTCTGCCCCCCAGTCATTCCCCAAAAGGTCCTGGCACACAGGAGGAGCTCAATGAATATTTATTTATTAAATGAATGGACAAACATAGATAAGAATGTAAAAGAATGTGGAGGTGGGGGAGGGAGAGATCACATGGCTGTTAACAAACTAGCATTCGTTTAACAAATTTGTTTGTTTTCTTCCCTTAATAAAGTGCGATTGTTATTATTGGACCAGTTTATCTTAAGGTTTTTATTTGTCCTTTTTTGAATGCCTAAATGCAGAAAAATGCAGATGACACTGATGGTTGGCATAACAAAGTTTTTTCAGTCATCTGAGGAACTGTCATAATAGGCCTTTGGATATCTTTTGTTAAAAAAGATATGTATAGCCCTGGCCAGTTTGGCTTAGAAGTTAGAGCATCAACCCATGGACCAGAGAGTCCTGGGTTTGGTTCCCACTAAAGGTTGCAGTTTGTCCCCTGCTTCGGTTGGGGTCATGTGGTTGTGTGGGTGGCAACCACTCAATGTGTCTCTCTCATGTCGATGTTTCTCTCTCTCTCTTCCTCCTTCTCTCCCTCCTGCTCTATCTGAAGATAAATGCAAAAAATAAAATAAAATATGTGTGTGTGTGTGTGTGTGTGTGTGTGTGTATATTTATAGACCTGGCCAGTTTGGCTCAGCGGTTAGAGCATGGGCCTGCGGTCCAGAGAGACCCGGGTTCAGTTCCTGCTAAGGGCGCGTACCTTGGTTGCGGTTTGTCCCCAGCCCTGGTTGGGTCCTGTGGGTGGCAACCACTCAATGTGTCCCTTTCACGTCGATGTTTCTCTCTCTTTCTCTCTCTCTCTCTCTCTCTCTCTCTCTCTCTCTCCCTCCCTCCCACTCTGTCTGAACAAAAAATGGAAAAATGTCCTCAGGTGAGGATAAAAAAAATTTTTTTTTTGCATTTTACTGTAAATAAATTATACCTCAAAAAAAAAAATTAAAGGTCAAGATAACTAACAGAAACATAAAAAATAAAAGGGATTATTTTTTTATTTTAATCTTCACCCAAGGATATGGTTCTATTTATTTTAGAGAGAGAGGAAGGGAGAGTGTGGGGGGGAGACATCGATTGGTTGCCTCCCATACATGCCCCAACTGGGGATCTAACCTGCAACCTGGGTACCTGCCCTGACCAGGAATTGAACCCAAGATCCTTCGTTGCACGGGACAACAGTCCAACCAACTGAGCAACACTGACCAGGACAGAAGGAGTTAATTTAAGTGATTTGAATTCTTGTGTTTCATAGGGAGTTGATAAAATTCAAAGTTGATGAATCAAGAAGTAATGGTGTAAGTATATGATTTCAGGTTAAGAGGCTGATCACCAGAACTAAAAATGCCTGGTTAACAAGGGTTGCCACTAGAGGTGGGAGGGGTCGGAATGACGATCATTACTTTTCATCATAAATAGATCTTTTTACCATGTAGATCATATTACGTAGATTTACTTTTTTATTTTTTTAATCCTCACCCAAGGACATTTTTGCATTTATCTTTGGGGGCGGGGGGCATCGACGTGAGAGAGACACATCCACTGGTTGCCACCCACACAACCCCAACCGGGGTGGGGACAAACTGCAACCGAGGTACATGCCCTTAGCGGGACCCAAACCCGGGACTCTTCCGTGAGCCAAGCTCTAGCCTCTGAGTCAAACCGGCCAGGGCTAGATTGACTTTTTTCTAAGATGGTGGCAGCACACTGGATTCTCTGGAGCAGCCATGAGCGATGGTCACACATTTGTGACAGCTGTAGACTAGAGCATTTTTTACTAACATCTTAGGGATATCAAATACCACACTTTGAAATTGTGACATCGTTAAGTGTGGTATAACTGTGGTTCTCTATATTTTCTACCTTAACACTTTGGAGGAATATTAAACATTCTCACTGATGTCTGTGGCTTTCTGCTGCAGTGATACTGAACTGGGTTGGGGGAGAGAATAGACAGTTTGGAAAAAAAAATTTTAATACCTCACCACCAACCTAGAAGGATTCTTGGTTGGTTTCAGGCCACTCTTTGCCATATTTTTCGGCTCACTCTTCATCCTCCAAGGATGTTTCTAGTACAGGACTTCGCATATAGTAGGTGCTCAGTAAATATTTGCCAAAGGAATGGTTTTGAAAATAAACTAAAACATAACGGAGATGGCTTTTGCCCTCTCTGTCCCACCCTCATCTCATGAATGGATTTCAAAGAATGCCAGCAGGAACTTGGTTCTCTGTGTCACTGCAGCAGTGAATAAATCACTGATTGCTTGGAGGTGTCAGGAATTGCACTTGTCTTCTGAGAAGTGGATTTGGCTCCCTTACTACTGAAACGTTTCTGTGCTGACTCATTTCTCTGAAGACACACATGCTTTTTAATAAACCTGTATTAGTGTTTTATACACTTCTTCTTCGGTAACACAGTAATGCTGTTTGTCACTTGGATATAGGGGGGATACCTCCAAGTGAAATAATGTAATGACTCACATAATTGTGCCTTTCCTAATCTGGGTGAAGAGGACAGAGGCCTAAGCACATGGACTGGAAACTGGAAGGGAGTGCTCAGAAAACAGAGTCACATGTGCTGCAGGAGCAAGAAGTCGTCCTAGAGGACACAGGCGAAGATGGCATCTCTGAAAGCTTCCAGCTTTTACAGATTGACGTGGAATGTGAGCATCAGGAGAGAGAGGCCCCACCCACGGGCAGTGCAATGTGGTGCTCGGTGAGTGCAGTGGGTGGCCATGGGTTTGAGGATGATGGAGTGTCCCAGAGACCCCTATTCTAAAGGTAGATACTGGTAACAAAAGACTGGGAGTGAGTTTGGTGTATTCCAAGGGTTGAATTTCCTGCTAACTGGTTTAAAGCTTCAGTTTCATTTGTGTCATAGGAAAAGTAAAATAAGTTCAAGAGGAATTTCTGATATACCTCGGAAGGGTCAGGAAATCTAAAATCATGTCTTTTCTGGGGCTCTGCTTTCTCTAAACACAGTCTCGTCTATTTTTGTTGTTAAGTCTAATATCCTTTTTCTCTCCTAACTTTCTATCTAAATTAAAAAAATAAGTAACTGTTTCTAATATTCATTTTCCTTTTTGGTGCTTATGAAGTTCTCAAACAATTTTGTTTTCTGGATAACCTAAGAAAAATGTCCAAAGAAAACAGAGACACTGGGAAAAGATAGTTGCAGCAAAGAAGAGCAAAAGAAAGCAAGAAAAAGAAAGAAGAAAAGCCAATCGTGTAGAAAATTCAGGTAACAATAAACCAGGTTGCTGTATAATTGTATTTATTTCTTAGCAAATTGGTATCTGCATGTTCCCAGGAGAATAGGAACATTGTTTTTAAGTAAAAACAAACATCCGGGAGGTGAGACCTACAGTCCTACTTTTTTGGGAATCAAAGTATCAAAGAAAACAAAATTGAAGTCTGCCTTTCAAATATAAACAGGTGCGTTTATAAGCTCAGAAGTAGAAGGAATGATATACCAACAACAGCTAACATTTATTCAATGCTATGTGCTAGGTTCAGAATTTTACATGGATTACCCTAAGGGGTAGGTCTTTTATTATCCTCATTTTGTAAGTGAAGAGACTGAGGCTCAGAGAAATTAAATAACATGCTTAAGATGATACAGGTAGTAAAGGAACAAACTGAAGTTAGATTTAGACCCAGCATTGTGCTCCAGAGCCGTCGTCAACCCTCTGCTGTATCTAGATGCCTAATGAATAAACACCTTGCACAAGCTTCAAGTTTCTAGCTTCTCTGCCTGTGCAACTAGTACTCACCTGGCTGGGGAGATTTGTTTCTTATTAAATATTATTCCTCTGTTTTCCCACTTAATGTTTTTTGATATTTCTACTCTAGGCATCTGCCCCCCGCACAGCAAACGTTTTCTGAGATTCTTAACCAAGGAGAAACTTTTGGAAGCCAAACACTCAGGACCAAGACTCTGTATCGATTTAAGTATGACCCACCACATGTCTAAGAAGGTAGAACATCAACTAAGTTCCAAATTTCTGCTCACATATGGGAAGTCCTGAAGGGAGCGGCTTTCACAAAGAGCATGACCAGCTCTAGATTCCGTGATTCAGTAGTAAACCAGCGAATGTGTTTAGGCCCTGGCCAGGTGGTTCAATTGATTGGAGCATCGTCCCGTACACTAACACCAAAAAGGTTGCAAGTTCGATTCCCAGTCAGGGCACATACGTGGGTTGAAGGTTTGATCCTAGGTTGGGGTGCATATGGAAGGCAACCCATCTATGTTTCCCTCTTACATGGATGTTTCTCTCTTTCTCTCTCTCTCCTTCTTCCTTTCTCTCTCTCTTCCCTTCTCTCCCCTCCCCTTCCTCTTTCTCTAAAATCAATAAACATATCCTCAGATGAGGATAGAAAAAAGTGTTGAGTTTCCTACACATGGCTAAGTTCCAAGATGGCTGCTACATAGCATCAGGAATAGAATACAAATCCTCTGGTATAGTTTGCAAATTTTTACCTTATCTTCTGTTTTGAGATCAACCCTCGCCTCTGTGTTCATGGTGTTCCCAGTCTAGTTGTAGCCTTTCAGTTTCAACTCTCCAGAGATGAAATCTTTGGCCCTCTGCCGGGGAGAGGAACATTTGCCTGGTTACATGTTGTGGAGAGATTGCCTGGTGGCATGTCTTCCTGCCACCTGTGTGTTTTAGTGATTCCCATTCACCCTACTGGTGAAGGAGGGACTTCCACCCTTGGGTTCAAGGGGTGGCTGAAACATGGCACTCAACACTGAACAGATAAATGGACGGCAGTTTATTGATCACATAAAGTCAGCGCTGGGGGAGGACGACACCGCATGCCGTGCAGGGCCACATGGGGTTGCACTCGGGAACAGAGGAACAACCAGGGACTGGGAGCAGGCTCTGCAGTGTCAGGGTGGCGCCCCCTGGTTCCTGCAGGAAGGTGTGATTGGTTTGTTGGACTAATTCTGTGGATTGGCAGGGAATTAAAACCTACTGCTCAGGGATAATCAGGAGCCGCACCCGGTCTCTGATAACAGGGGTTGTTCAGCTAGGGGACCTTATCTGTGGGAGCAGAACTGAGAGAGGAACTTGTAATTAGGCCGTTCATGCCCCCCCACCCCAGTTTAACCGGAGGTCAAGGCAGCATACATTATTGGGCTTCATTTTAGGCCTTACTCCGCAAAACAGGTCTTTCTCTTTTCTAATACCCCTGTTGTATGTGCTAGGGTTTGCCTGTTTTTCAGAGAAATTAAGAAAATGGAAGATCTGAGACTCTTACATAGAACCTCTAACTGTAGCCCTCTGAAAAGGTCAACCAAGGATTTTCTACTGTTTATATAGAGATATCAGATTAAATCAAAGTTAAAGCCCTTTCTCTTCTATGAACCAAATCAGGCCAGATGGTGAGGCCTGTATCAGGATGGAAAATTAAAACTTTCAATCCTGTTACATCTCCTAGAGTTAGGGAGAAGGTGACAAGTTTATTTGATGGAGTATAAAAATGTCTGTATAGTTATCTAACCTCTCTAACAGACATTAAACATCACATGGTAAGATTTTAGAAGAAAGTTAAAAGAACAATTTCATATATCATTAGATATATAACGGCAGGTCCTGAAGGAGGTGGAGTTCTCAGTTTTCCCAGTAACTCCCTGTGTCTTGGCTGGTATCACTCAGCTTTCATCTGTAGGGTGTGCTCTGGGGGTCAAGTGTACTCACACGCGTGTTCTCGCTCCTGGAGTCAAGGGGGTCCTTCTAGTTCGTGAGATCATCCCTAGTAGCACTCAGTGAACTTACCAAGTAACCATTTGTTGGTAATGAATTTAGAAAGAGAGGGCATGTTTCCACACTAATCTGTTCGTATTTCTCTGAAGGAACTAAGTAGACTGGCTGGACAGCTCCGAAGGTTGTACGGTTCGAATAAAAAAGCTGACAGGCCGTTTTGGATCTGCCTCACTGGATTCACAACAGACAGTCCCCTGTATGAAGAGTGTTTGAGGATGAACGACGGATTTTCTAGTTACCTGGTAAGCATCGTTTTGCATATTATTTGAATTGTCATCTAAACGTAGGTTGTGAGGTAATTTTTTTACATTTTCATATTTCGGTATAAGAATATATATATAAATGATGTGTTTTCATTATTATAATCTAAAAATATTAAGAACTGCTCATCATTTCTTACATTTAAATTTTTTCTTTCTACACATTGGCAAAAAGTATCTAGGACTGTGTCCTGTCTATTGTGTGCTAGACTGTATACTTCAGGAATGTTTGGGGGACATGCCTTGACTCCTTTCTTGTTCTCGGTAATGCAGAATTATGAAACATGAGTTTTGGAGGACGAGAAAGAATCCTTATGGAAGTGATGTGGATTTAAGATGAGTTTTAGGGAGTACTAAGTTACATTTCAGTTCTTTCCCTCAGATCTCATAAGCATACTGATTGATATACAGGCAAAAACCCAGATCAGTTCCTAAAAAAATATCACTAAAAATGCCCTTGTGGCCCTGGCCGGTTTGGGCCACTTTTGCTAAGTGGTTAGAGCATTGCCCACCGACCAAAGGGTTGCTGGTTTGATCCTAGGTTGCAGGTTCAGTCCTGGTCCCAGTGAGGCAACCAATCGATGTGTCACTCTAACATCCATGTCTCTCTCTCTCTTCCTCCCTCCCTGTCGTTCCTTCTCCCTCCCTGTCGTTCCTTCTCCCTCCCTCCCTCCCTCCCTTCTACTCTCTCTAAAAAATCAATGGAAAAATGTCCTCAGGTGAGGATTAACAACAACAATAAAAATGCCCTTGTGGTTGCATTGTGTAGCTGAGACTGGGCAGCATGGCCTTTCCGAGGGAGGTCCACGGAGGCGATGGTGTGGAGAGCGCCCTGTGCGGTGCTTCACAGTTAGTCGTGGTTGCTGTTACTGCCCTAACAGTCCCTCCCCTAGTGCAGCCGTTTCCAGCCTGACTTTCCTCTGTGCATGTTTGATGATTCCTGTACCAAGCAGACCCACTCTCAGGGCCACCTGGGCCCCTTGCTCTCCTGTCTTCACGCCTTTCTTACATGATTGCTTCCACTCTGAGCACTTCTTTCTCTTGTACATGTCAACCTCACCTCTTTTCAGACACCCAGTTCGTGCTGTCCCTCACCTGTGGTCCTGGGGCATATTCCCTGCATGTCTCTTAGGGCCTCATATTACTTTCTGCCTCGTTTTTTTTTTTGTATCCTCACCCAAGGACATTTTTCCATTTTTTGTTCAAGTAGAGTGGGAGGGAGAGAGAGGAACAGAGAGAGAGAAACATCGATGTGAAAGGAACACATCAAGTGGCTGCCACCCGCACGACCGACCAGGGCCGGGGACAAACTGCAACCGAGGTATGTGCCCTCAGCGGGAACCGAACCCGGGTCTCTGGACCGCAGGCCAACGCTCTAACCACTGAGCCAAACCGACCAGGGCTCTGCCTCGTTTTGTAGGGTTGAATGTCTCTGCCTTTCTATATCCCCTGGCCAGTTGAGCACTTTCTGAGAACAGGTGGTCAGACATGTAGCCCCTGGATGCGTGTCCAGCAACTAGTTGCTGCATTGGGGGCTATGTCTTAACCTAGTTCACAGTACTTTGGATTATTTGTATTTTTCAGCTGGACATAACAGAAGAAGACTGCTTTAGTTTATTCCCCCTGGAAACCCTTGTGTACCTGACTCCTGACTCAGAACATGGTATGTTCTTTACTGCACAGATTCGTGTAGCATTGTATCTAGCTAGTTTCCTGGTCAGCTCCCTCCGCTGACCCTTTTTGGATCAATGTTAGATATATTTTTTTCCAGGAAATCATTTATTTCACATAGTTTTCAAATTTTTTGATATTAAATTGATCTTTGTATTCTCTTCTAATTATTTCACATTTCTCTGTAAGTCTCCTTTCTGAATCCTAAGCAGATTTGAGTCTGCTACTTTTTTTTTCTTGATTAGATAGTCCAAAGTCTTATCTATTTAACTGGTCTTTTGAGAGAATTAGAAAATCTATGTTTTCTATTTCTACTTTTATCATTCTCTCCTTTTACTTTCTTTGGATTTAGAAATTATAAAGGTTTGCCCTGGCCAGTTTGGCTCAGCGGTTAGAGCGTCGGCCTGCGGTACAGAGAGACCCGGGTTCGGTTCCCGCTAAGGGCATGTACCTTGGTTGCAGTTTGTCCCCGGCCCTGGTTGGTCATGCGGGTGGCAGCCACTCGATGTGTCCCTTCACATCAGTGTTTCTCTCTCTCTCTCTCCCTCCCGCTCTATCTGAACAAAAAATGGAAAAATGTCTTCGGGTGAGGATTAAAAAAAAAAAAAAAAAAGAAATTATAAAGGTTTGATCTCATTGGCCTTCATTTCTTCATTAGCTCTTGAAGATGTTGATCTAGACAAAGTTTACATCCTTGGTGGACTTGTGGATGAGAGCATTCAGAAGGTACGTGTACATTTTGGGCTGAAAAACATACTTTGAAAAGTAGTGCTTACTTTTAATCTTACCCAAAAGACCTAAAAACTCAAAGGGAAAAGGGGAATGAGCCTATTCTGCCTGGGTTGGCCCTCGCACTTATGACGATCCCGCTCTCCTCATCAGCAAGTCAGCAACCTGACCTGACAGTAATTGCTAATTATCCCCGTAATCTAAACCTTTCTCTTTAATCCTGAAACTGCAAATAGGTAGATGACCTTTCCAGCTTCTCACAAAGTAGCAAATATAATTTAAATTCTGTACATGGCTCAGAGACATCTTTAAAGGGACATCAGTTACTTTTCTCCAACTGACACCTTATGTGACCTCAGATTATTGGACTTCTTGAGTTCTTGGGGCTCCTTTTTGCAGTTTTCAGAGCCCTTCCTCTTCCTTTGGGTCTTCCTGAGTCCTATAGGGCCAGGCATGTTCTCCTCTGACTGAAGTAACTGCTTGGACTTTTGTATACAGATTGTGGCTGTAGATATGCCTCTTTTAACTTCCTTCCTTCTTGGTTGTAAGTAGTAGTGAGTGGAAGATAGTGGGTAAATGACTCCCAATAAGTGAGGTGTTGCTGTACAAGCCATTTCTTACTTGGACAAGTACATACTCTTCATTATCTACAATATTCTTAATTATCTTCAGGTTACTTCCCCCCTTCCACTTTACCTTTTTAAAATTATTTTATTATTTTGTATTGAATTTATTGGGGTAACACTGGTTAATAACAGGCTACTTATATTTAATACACTTATGATTACAGATGGAAGTTAGAGTGGTGGTAAATAGGGATTCTCACAGTTTACTATGCATATTATAATGAGAATATCTTTGTGGATTATTTTTAAAAGAAAAGTATTTAACTGATTTACAGAAGGTGACATTTCAAAAGGCCCGAGAACACTCTGTCAGGACAGCCCGCTTGCCAATCCAGGAATACATGGCCAGAAGCCAGAATGGGAAAAACTATTATTCAGAGATATTGGCCATCAATCAAGGTATTGCTTACATGGCTCACGCTTGGATGTGTTCGTTCTGGTGCTGCTGCTTTTCATATGAATGGCCCTTGAAGCAGTTTCCCCTGAAGTGCTTAGACTTTACTGCATGCACTTTATGACATATATTCTAGCCTCTCGTAGGTATTTTTCATTTTCATTCTGATTCCCAACTATGTGAAATACAGTTGACCTGTTGCCTTGGCTTAGAATGCCCTTCCTTTAACCTATCATTGACCAGTGAATTCCTTTTTGTCCTCTATGTTCCCATTGTATTGTGTTCCTCTCTGTTGCAGCATTGTCCATTTAATGGTCCATCTCTCGTTGTAGGCTGAGGTTCTTGTGGGTAAGCAGGGCCTTTATCTTTGCCTTTTGTCTCCCCAGGATCTAATACCATGTGTGGTACAGAGTAGGTTTGTTGAATGAAATATTCCAGAAAACCCTTTTTCTCATTAGTCATTTACTAGTTCTCTTTTTCCAGTGTGTGGTCACTGTATTTTCTGTTTACCCTTCCAACAGTATTTGATATCCTGTCCACTTACTTTGAGACTCAAAACTGGCCTGAAGCATTGAAGAAAGGGGTTTCTTCCAGAAAAGGCTATGTTCTTCGGAACTTAGTGGATGATGGACAGCCTAAGATTGTACCTGAAGGAGGCGAAGTTGCTGGAGGGGCCTTGACCCAAGAGTCAAGCAAACGGTGGTGATGGCACACACTTGCCTTTACTTAACATCTTGGATCTTCATTAGAATATACATTACTAATAACAGGGACCACATTTTATGCTCTTTTGTATCTCCTAGAGTGCCTGGCTCACAGGAAGTGCCCAGTATATCCTAAGTAAAGTTTACATAACCGAGAATTAGCCCTTAAACCACATGGCTTTGGATGTGTTAATTCATTTTTTAATATATGTTTTTATTGATTTTTTTAGAGAGAGATAGAAACATTGATGTGAGAAACATCTATTGGCTGCCTCCTGCACGCCCCCTACTGGGGATCTAGCTGAAACCCAGGCACGTGCCCTGGATGGGAATCGAACTGGGACCTCAGTCCATGGGATAACGCTCAATCCACTGAGCCACACCAGCTGGGCTCATTTTTGTACATTTATTTGTGAAAAACCTATTCTTTAGAGATGGCTTAAATAATTAAATATTGTGATTTCAAGAGTTTAATTTTCACTAACTTTGTCCTATTTCCTCAGATCATGCTGATTTTCCCCAGTTCAATAATGTGCTGTACATGTACTTTTCAGGATCAGCCCGTCCTAACCTAGCCCTCTTTATGTCCCCATAGCAATTTTTTCCCGCCTGTGGTTCCTACCTTGTCTCTCCTGTTCTGAGTATGGGTGTGGAAGGCTTTTCTCTTCCTAACTGTAGCCTTCCTATAGGACAGTTTGTGGGAGTATCTTTGTATCCTTTTAAGCCTTGTACAAACTAGATTCTTCACATATATTTGTAATTATCCATTCAAATTGAAAAGCAAAAATATAATGTCTAACTTAAAATATTTGGAAAATACATTGCTTCTGACACAAGCATGTTAGACAACCTCCTACTACACAAATCTCAGTGATCCCTTTTCTCATGTCCTAGTTAAAAACAGTTGCTTCGGTTACTCTGGCCGGTTGGGGTTGGTCAACTTGTTTCTAAGCTGCTAGCAAATTCAGAAAATGTATTCTATTTCTCAAAAGAACTAGAAGGTTACTTCTGTGTTCTGTCCCCTCCCTTTCACAATTTACTCCCTCAGGAACTATAATCACCTGATAAATTATATCAGTGCCTCTTTATTACTTAAAAGCAGCCTAGGCTTGCCCTGGCCGATTTAGCTCAGCGGTTAAGAGACTGGGCCCACGGACCAATGGGTCACGGGTTCGATTTCAGTCAAGGGCACGTACCTCGGTTGCAGTTTGTCCCTGGCCCTGGTTGGGTTATGCAGGAAGCAACCGGTCGATGTGTCTCTTTCACCTCAATGTTTCTCTCTTCCTTCCTCCCACTCTATCTGATGATAAATGGAAAAATATTCTCAGGTAAGGATTTTTTAAAAAGCAGCGTAGTCTTCAGGAAACATCTTTAGGAATACATAATGTTCCTTGGTCTTTATCAACATAATTCTATAATTTCTGTCATCCAAAAGAGACCTCTACGGATAGGCTGCAGGGGTCTGTAACTCTTACCATGTTCTCAGGGAGGTCTCTGGCTCAGTAACCATTGATCTGGATCACCTGCCAGGCTTTATTTTCACCTCTAAAGGCTTTGCTTAAAATACCAAATAGCATAGAAGAATTTTCTCTCCAACTCCATCACAAACCTCTACAATTTTTTCAAAACCTAGACAGGTAGTTTTCTGTTTGGCTTCTAGGAAATGACTTTGGCAAAATAAAATTTGGTTGGACTTTGTGGAGGGCGGCCGAGCCAAGGTCTCTTGTTGCTCCTGTAGCGTTTGCAAAGCTCACCCAGGAGCTTTCTGCCCAAGGCCTCTTGTTGATCCTGTGTGCTGGCAAGGCCCACACAGAAGCATCCTACCCAAGGTCTCTTGTTGTTCCTGTGTGCTGGCAAGGCCCACACAGAAGCATCCTACCCAAGGTCTCTTATTGTTCCTGTGTGCTGGCAAGGCCCACGCAGGAGCATCCTACCCAAGGTCTCTTATTGTTCCTGTGTGCTGGCAAGGCCCACGCAGGAGCATCCTACCCAAGGTCTCTTATTGTTCCTGTGTGCTGGCAAGGCCCACGCAGGAGCATCCTACCCAAGGTCTCTTGTTGTTCCTGTGTGCTGGCAAGGCCCATGCAGGAGCCTTCAGAGCCGCGGGCAAAAATGTATCGACAATCTCGACCTTGAGCTCAGAGGCTGATGGAAACTGGTGTTTGAAGATAATAAAGCTTTTTATTCCCCCCACCCCCCTTGTTATTGCTATATAATTAACATGCTGAGCTAGCTCAGGGTCACTGTTTCTCCAGTGTCCCTGGAGAACAGTGTCCCACCTGGCCCCAGCTTTTCTCTCTATTATATCTGTGTCTTTCTTAGTCTCCCACCACTCCTTCTCAGGTCTGTTTCAACTAGCCACACAGGTCGTGGCAAAGTGGCACTCATACAGGGACCTGAGCACAGGGGAACTTGAAGCCCAGGCGAAGAGACTTTGCTCCGCGAGTACGCACTGTTGAGAAACGAAAGTAAGGTAGGGGAGTACGATTGATAGCCAGGTGTAAAATGTGCGGAATTCTATGTCGCAAGAAAAAAATCTGTGTGTCCATGTTAAGGGCTACGAGTAAGGCTCGAGGATGCTCAATAAACAAAATATCAACTCCTCGAGTTTTTAGAGTATGTGAATGAAACTTGCCCTTGGTTTCCTGATGAGGGGACAGTCAGTTTGGAAACCTGGGGAAAGGTAGGGAAGGGTCTGTGAGGCAGATACACAACAAAAGGCCCGAACAAGGTTCCGGTGCGAACATTTACTCTGGTCCCTAATTAGAGATTGCCGTGATCCTGCGCAGGAGGCTATTAAGGCAGGGAGACAAGGTATAGTGAAAGACTTGAGAAAGGCTATAAGTCCTTAAAGACGCCCCCACCACCTTCTGCTCCACCTATAGCTGTGAGGGGTTGATTCCCCTGATGAGACTTTACCCCTGAGTGTGAGAGAGAACGAGAAAGAGAGGTGGAGCGAGATTGGTGGCACTACGCCGAGGAAGATTCAGATGAGGAGTTTAACGTTACCCAAAGTTTTGCAGAATTGGCTCTTACCTCTTGATCATCTCAAGGGGATTCAGGGGCTCTGCCCAAAGACCCTCTAGTACCCCTGTGCTCTCTCCCTTACAGATGGGACTAAGAGAGGCAAGACGGGCTGGTGAGGATATCACTGTGTTTTCATTATTCCCAGTGAAAGTGGCCTGACCCGAACAATCCAGGTCATGCATTAAAAATGCATGAGCCCATCCCATTTAAGACGTTAAAAGATTTCAAGTATTCTTGTACCAGGTATGGGCCCACAGCTCCTTTTGTGCTCCGTTTATTAGAGAATGTTGCTAGTGATGCCTCAGCCCTGGGTGATTGGCAAACATTAGGGAAAGCTTGCCTTACACCTGGGGACTATCCGATGCGGAAGACCAGCTGGATGAAGATTAGTGGTGAGCAGGCCACGTGGAATCAGCAGCATGGAGTGCCCATCTCTGGAAATGCTCACGGGTACAGGGCAGTATCAGGCTCTTCATGATCAGCTGGGGTTTGCTCTCCAGGCATATCAGCAGATTAATATTTGTGCTATGATGGCCTGGAAAGAGCTCCCAACCAAAGGGGAAAATTTGCTATATCTTACATCCATCAGACAAGGACCTGAAGAGCCATATCAAGATTTTGTAGCTCGGTTGCTATAGGCAGTTGGTGGAGTAATAAGTAATTCAGAGGCCAGCACATTAATAGTTAAACAGCTTGCCTGTGAGAATGCTAATAAGCCCTGCAGGGAGGCCCTACGCCCTTACTCCCTTACTGTAAAAAAGCTAATAGATCAGGAGGAAACTGGAAAGGATGTTATACTTGTGGAAAGCCAGGTCATTTTGCTAGGGAGTGTAAGCAGCGCGCCTGCGCCGACAACCAGTCAGGGAATCCTGCCAAGCAGCCAGGACTATGTCCTCGTTGCCGCAGGGACGTCACTGGGCCAGTGATTGCCGTTCTCGAGCTGCTGTCAATGGACAACCACTTGAACCCCAGCAGGGAAACAGTAAGCGAGGCCAGCCCCAGGCCCGTCAAACAGTGGGGGCAACGTCTGTCACCTCTGCTCAGGTGTTCTAACCAGGGTGGAGTTCAGGACTACAATCCGGGATCTCTACCGCGCCACCTCAGGGAGTGCCCCACCGCCCCGTGCGTATTAACAGCAGAGATGGGGCTGCAAGCTAGTCCAACAGGGATCTATGGGCCACTACCTAATGAAACAGTGGGGTTAATCTTGGGAAGGAGTAGTCTCACTATGAAAGGATTCCAAGTGTTGCCTGGAGTTACTGATTCTGATTATTTTGGGGAAATAAAGGTTATGGCCCAAACCACTAATACCATTGTACAAGTTTTACCTGAAACTAGGATAGCACAAATTGTAACTTTGCTGCATCAGGCGGCTGGGAAAGTGCTATCAAAAGAACCACGGGGAGGAGGAGGATTCGGCTCCACAGCTAGAGCCTGTTGGGCATAGTTAATCACCCAAGGTCCCCGGAAATGGAACTCAGTTTGAATGGAAGGAAGTTTAGAGGTATTTTAGATACAAGGGCAGGTGTTTCGGTGATTGTCTCAAGGCACTGGCCTGCCACATGGCTCCTATATGTTTCCGTGGAAGGAGTAAGACAGGTTTTTAGGCCCCAACAAAGTGCACAGCTTATTAAATAAGATTCTGAGGGCAACACCAGGTTTTTTTAAACCCTATGTTTTAGATCATTTTCCTGTTAATCTATGGGGAGGGGATATTATGGAAGAGATGGGGGTACTGTTAATAAGTCCTAAATCTGTAGTCACAGCACAAATGCTTGGACAAGGATACAACCCAAAAAGGGGGCTGGGGAAATACCAGCGAGGGAGAATTTCTCCTGTTCCTGTTCCACTCAGAAAGGCTGACAAGGTCTGGGATTTCACGGGCCTTCGCCTTTTCCATAGGGGCCTTGGTCATCTCTTCAGCCCGAAAGACCACTGCCAAAATTACTTGACTATCAGATAAGGCAGTATGGGTTGATCAGTCCCCTAACAGGAGAAGTTGCAGGCAACGCAATTGTTGGTACAGGAACAATTGGAGGCAGGTCATGTTGAGCCAACTAACAGCCCTTGGAATACTTCCATTTTTGTTGTAAAAAAGAAATCAGGCCCTGGCCAGTTTGGCTCAGCGGTTAGAGCGTC